GAACTCCGACACGATGGCCATGCTGTTCCCTGCCGTCGGGGCGCGTCCTGCTCGCACCCTTGCGGATATGATGTTTGAAGAGATGCAGAACAGAGGCGCCCTTCCCTTGGAGGAGCTTCTTCGTGTCCGTGAGGAAACCATGAACATGCCCAAGCAACGGAAGACGGCGCCTGCCCGAGACTGGCTGAAGGAAGTGTCCGCCATCCTTGACTCGGCGGAGCGCAAGAGCCTGACCAAGGCCGAGCGCACTTTCCTGGCCAAGTTCTGCGCCGCCCACGAGGTGCCTGTTGTCTCCAGGGCGCAGACCAACACGTACGTGGGGAAGGCGCCCGAAATGCGAAGCGAGGACGACTCCGCCAGGACATTCCTCAGCAATGGGAAGGAGATCAAGTTCGCCAAGAGCAAGGCCAGCTTCAAGCGCTTCCTGTTCGAGGCCAAGGACACGATGGCGTCCGTGGCCGCCATCCGAGGCACCCACCAACTCGTGGGCGTTTGTCTGGAGCACCAGTGCCTCTTGACCAGCATGCAGCCCATCCAGTACACGTTGACGAAGGCCAAGCGCGTCCGTAAGCTCGAGGACGAGGTCAAGCCCAAGAAACAGAGGACGACTCCGGCCGAAGGCCAACACGTGCCAAGCCCTCGCCACTGCCCGTCGGACGACTCGAGTTCGGAGGACGAGAGCGAAGGCGAGTGCCACAGCGAGGACAAGCTGTAGGAGATGGCCAACGACTTGGAGGCACTGCTGTGGGATCTCCCGGAGTCCCACTGAGGGGCTGGCGAGGGGCGGAGTCCTCCTGACGGAGAGGCGACGATTCAGCGCTTTTGATTCCTTGAGTGCATGTAGTTCTATTATATCTTGTAGTATATCATACATTAGAAAAAAAAAAATAGATAAAAAATAAATAAATAAATAGATAAAAAAAATAAAAAAAAATAAAAAATATATATATACATATACATCTATGAGTACTTTTATGTATGCGTGTTCGTATGTGCGTTTGTATGTGTGTGTTAATTTATGTGTATGTGTGTGTGCCTGTGTGTGCGTGTATGTGTGTGTTTATGCATGTGTGTTTGTATGAGTGTGTTTGGTGTTTATTTTTTGTGTGTGTTTGTGTGTGTATGTGTATGCGTGTTTATGTGTTTGTTTGTACGTGTGTGTGTGTGAATGTGTTTGTGTGTTTGTATGTTTGTGTGTGTGTGCGTATGTGTTTGTGTGTTTGTATGTTTGTGTGTGTGTGCGTATGTGTTTGTGTGTTTGTATGTTTGTGTGTGTGTGCGTATGTGTTTGTGTGTTTGTATGTTTGTGTGTGTGTGCGCGCGTGTGTGTGTGTTTGTATGTGTGTGTGTTTATATGTGTTTGGTGTTTGTTTATGTGTGTCTATGCGTTTATGTGTGTATATGTGTATATGCGTGTTTATGTGTTTGTTTGTGCGCGCGTGTGTGCGTTTGTGCGTGCGTGTGTGTGTTTCTGCCTGCGTCTATGTGTTTGTGTAAGTGTGTGTTTGTTTGTATGTGTGTGTGTTTGTATGTGTGTGTGTATGTGTATGTTTGTGTGTGTGTATATGAGTGTTTGTGTATGTGTGTGTGTGTGTTTGTGTGTGTGTGTATGTGAGTTTGTGAGTGTATGTGTGTGTGTGTGTGTGTGTGTGTGTGTGTGTGTGTGTGTGTGTGTGTGTGTGTATGTTTGTGTGTGTGTTTGTATGTGTGTTTATTTGTGCGTGTCTGTGTGTATGCGTGTTTATGTGTTTGTTTGTGCGTGTGTGTGTTTGTGTATGTTTGTGTGTGTGTTTTCTGCATGTGCGTG